TTTATTTGAAGAGGCTCAAAAGGCAGTGGAAATTTATTTGGTTGAAAATGTACACAAACGTCCTAAAAAGACACATTCAATGTGTTCTATTGAATTGGATGGTTGTAATTATATGAACACTTTGGGTAACACAATAAGTATGAAATTAAAAAGTTGTAATACTAACAATGTTAATTATTTGGATAAAATGATTGAAGATGATAAGAATTGTGACATTGATATAGAAAATATAAAATACGATAATGAAGCAATGAATTGTGAAAATAAAGAACACCCCACTACGTTTGAAAAAGATAATGAACAAACACATAATTGTTTAATGGATTGTGAAATTTCAAACTGTTTTATTAATAAAAACAGTTGTGATGTTGTTTTATTTGAATATAGAGAAACAGAAAGTGTAAACACAACTCCAATAAAAATTGAAGATGCATTTAAAGAGAATGCAAACCAGACTCAAGAATGTGAATTAAAAGAAAGTTCTATTACAACGTGCACTTCAATTATAACTAATCAAAATAACAATGAAACTATAAAGTCGGTTAAATCCAAGTCGTTGGAATTGTACGAAAAAATATCCAAAGAAACTCACAGACTTTTAACAGAAAATGTGTGTACTTTGGAAATAGTCAAAAGTTTGGTTGATAAATTTGTACCTCCAAACCCAATTACAAGTAAAGAAACTTCTGCTGCTCTTTCTGTTCGAAGCAAAATATTTACTTTAATGGTTGGTACAATAGAAAATGCAGTTGGGATGTCTCAAAAACAGACTGTTGCTGTAGCTGAAATTGTTGATGTATTTATTTCACTTTTTCTAGATGAAAAAAATCAAAACATACTTTTTCCAAGAATCCATATTAGCCATACAACAAATCTTAAGGTTGTGACTTTGTTAGGAAAAGAAGACAAGGAAGAAATTGTTCAAATGTTCAAAAATTGTGTTTGCTATGGGATTGCTATAGATACAACACACAAAAATGGTTCTGAAATTATTGGTCTTATCTGTAGATTTAGTTTTGACAATTTTGTTGTTGCTCAAAAGAAGCTTGTTTTAGGTGAACTATTCGAAAGAACAACAGCAGCAAATATCACTAAATGGGTACTGGACGCACTAAACCTTTTTGATGCTCCACTTGTAAAGTGTGTGTTTTGTACAAGTGATGGATGTACTCAAATGGTGGGTTGGAAAGGAGGGGTTTCTACACTTATTGGTATTGCGAAACGGAATCTTATAAAAGAACACATTGAAAATGGTATCAAAGAAATGGCGAGTGAATTAACGCTTAAAACTTATATGTCACATTACTGTTTTTGCCATCGATTAAACGTGGCTGAGGTATTTCTTTGGAATACAGCAGATGGAAGAGTTCTTTTGGCAATTCTCAAAGTGATATGTAGCGATGTTACAATAACTCAATGGAACGCGTTTTGGGGAAGCAAAGACGATTACATTGAACATGTACATATACCCACCATGAGTAACACAAGATGGTGTTATCACGAGTTAATAGTTGATAAATTGATCAACAACTTTAAAGACTTCGATTTGTTTTTTAGAGAACTTGACATTTATAAGAAAATTAATACCATTCTTATTGACCAATACAAGGCAGGACTTCCAAAGTGCAACAACGTAGAATTGGAAAAGGCAAAAAGTGATATTAATTATTTCGTGTTTTTGGGGAGACGTATTAATTATTTTGACGTAAAAGATACAATGTTCCTTGCTTTCGCCGGATTTTATTATGATATTTTGAATATTACAAAAGTTTGTTGTGATAAAATGCAAGAAAAGTTTGGATTAATAAACGAAGAGTATTTGCGTGTCACTGAGTTAATCAACAATTTGAATGTAAAAATGTCTGATGCTTCGAATGGATGTTTTGACTCTTTCTATTCAGTAAATCGTTTTTTGCCGTTTAAAGCTCCAATTGTTTTTTCATCGTCGTGTAAAAATATTATTTCAGAGTTTATTAATGCTTTGAACATCAGGTTTTGTAATTCTACGTGTGTAAAATTTAAAGCAGATTCAAAGAAACTTTCCTCTGTTAAAACAGAACTTGGGGTTTATCAAAATTTGGATATATATTTGGACTGTTTCAATTTCCCTGAAAAATATATTCGCGAAGACACCATGTTTGTAAATAACACTTTAGACTATTTGGAAATAGAACTCACAAATTTAAAAACACTTATTGATGCAAACATAGAAGACGTGAAAAAGTTTATTGATACTAACTCAAAAAACAAAATATGTAAATTCAGCCTTCTGGATGCACTACAATTATTTGGTCATGAAAACTTTCTTAGATGTTCAGAACTTATTTTTCTTGTAGTTAGCCTTATTCCTACATCTTCGTGTGTGGAATCTTTGTTTTCTTTTTATCGCTATGCTAACAAAATAAACATGAAAGTAAAAACTGCAGATATTCGTTTGTCTGCAAAATTTATTAAAATGACGCAAAGTAGGCTTTCTCTTATGTAATTTTAGTCTTGATTCGTGTTTTTTTATAACCAATAACAAAATCAAATAAATGTTTTTTAATTAATTTTGTTATTTACTTTTTGAAACAATAAAAAATCATCATTTTTTAACTCGCCTTTTAACCAAATTTGGGGAGCCCTGCTTTAAACCTGTTTATAATATAGAGCGAACAAGAATCATTTAAAAATATTTATTTGTTTGTTTTTTATAACGGTCATACAATTAGAGTCAGTGTTATTTCTTAGGTAACAATTTACAGATTTTACCGATATCTTTTTTGGTTTTTGATAAAAACGTCAAAAATCCCATAAACCAACAATCCCGAAGTAATAGCCCATATGTGGCTGTTATACCCCATCCACCGAAATCGATCCATCCACAGCAACTTTTTAGGACGATTTCCCAAAATTTTGAAAAAAATATTTCAAATTTATTTCAAGTTCTCCATTTTTCGTTTTACTATACTTTTTATTCAACTACCAACATAAAACTATACTTGGAATATCGGAATACATTTTGTAGATCATAGTGTAAATTACTCGTCATTACAATGTATCATTACCAAGATCATTTATCTGATACCGTTATAAACTATAAAAAACAAAACAAAAAATTAACCCGAAAGATAAAAAAAAACATTCTTGTGTTTAAAAACGTGAAAACAATACTATTTTTTACGAATTTTTTTAAATGTTTCGGTCTTGGCAATAATCACCTAAACACGTTTATCATTAATCTTCTCAGTGAAAGAGAATGGATATTATTTGGATAAGAGTCTTTTTGGCAAAATCGATCTCTGATTTTTCAAAATTTTATTTTTTTTTTTTTGTGGTGCCCGATATTTCAGTCTATTTTTCCCTTTTATACACCAATCCACTAAAAAACGCCAATCCAGTGTCATGCCCTTATTGTTTTGTTTTATAAATACATATAATTATTTTATTATAATTGTACTATTAACAAAGTTGCACTGACACTTCAAACTTTTACAGTTTTATTTATCACTTTCATAATTAGACAATTCAAATATAAAGTCATAATTTTTCATTAAATTATTTAATAAAACTCTAATTTATTGTATTATAAAAGAATCAATTAAAGGGAATATTATTGTTTTAACACACAACATAATAGTTTTAAAATTACATCAAAACAAAATGTAACCAACTGTATGGTCATTTGATGTTAATAGTTGTTTTGAAATACTATTCGAATTAATCAACGAAATTTAAATTACTTATCAAATTAACAATAGTCTATCGTTGATTAAATATACATAAAAATAATTTGGGGTTCAACGATTTGTGAATGTGTATCACAATCAAAACAAAAATAGTGATGGTGTCTATTTATAGTTATAATATTTATTATTAACAACTATTGTTATAACAATTAATATAAATTACTTTAATAAAAACAATTTAAATATTGAAACTATTCATGATGAATCGATTTAAATTAAAAAAATAACAATTAAAAAATATAAAAACACAATCAAATTAACATTATTTGTTTACCACTTTCATATATACAATAACCACTTATAAATAGATTAATAAAAGGCAATTTACTTTGAACATTAAATTTACATTATTTTGTGTAATGAACATGAAAACTGTTTTAATTGTTGTTTTATTAATCCATATAGTCCATTCTTTAGATGATTTGGAAGATATGAATCCAACGGAAGAGTATCTAAGACATATACCCATTGGACGGTATGGGACAGACTTTGCTCGTAAAATGATGGTGTACGAAAAGGTATTTATGAGAGGCTTAACTCAAATTGTAAACAATTTTAAATATCTCACCAAAGTATTTGAAAATGGGGAAGATCGAAAAGTATTTCTTCCAATCATCCTCTACCACAAAAATTTTTTGAGAGTCCTTGAAATTTCTGTGAAAACACCCACAAGACAAAATTTTCAAGCAGTATTTGGTTATTTAAATGACATGGTATCGCCTTCCCCGCTGATGGATAATTACTTATATATTGCTAAACACCTTCCAAGTTGGCAAATCAAATTTGAAGATAATTCTGTTGCAAAGAGTTATTATATAACTGTACTTAAAGAATGCTTTAGATATTTCAGCAAAATCGAAAGAGAAATACCATCTTTAAAAAAAGATAGGGTTTTAAGTACAATGTCTATTGTTGACAAATTGTTAGGAAAATTTCATAAAATATCTTACTATTTTGTTTGGGACAGACCAGTCCTTAACAGATAAAGTTTGAAATTATGATTAATTGAAATGAATTGGGAGTTTTTTAAATACTATTTAAATATCTTAAAAAAGTATTTCATTTGAAAATTATTGTTGAATAAATAATTTAAATATCAACATAAGACATAATAAAATAATCAAATCAGTATAACAAATATATTGTTACATCTTAACAATTAATTTTTAAAAAGATGTTTGTTATTTAATTATCAGCTTGGTATATATTTTCAAGTCTCCCCACTACAATATCCATATCAGGTCTCTCTCTGGGATCTTGCTTCCACATTTCTTCAATTAAAGCTTTCTGTTTTCCATCTCCCAATTCAATTGCCGGTCGTTCTCCTTTGGAAATCAAATTGGTGATATCCCAACTGTATGGAAACAGCTTTTCATCAAACGGGTCTTTCCACGTCAAACATTCCAAAACAGTGATAGCAAACGAATACACATCTGCTGAGAGTGTATACTTTTCGACATTTGTGATTTCAGGCGCCATGTACTTTGGTGTACCAATACATTTCGTGTACATCATGTTATCACACAGACTGTCGACATTTCTTGACGCTCCAAAATCAGTCAATTTCCCATTGACTTCGTCGTTAAAATCAAGTGAAGTTACAAGTGTGTTGTCTGACTTGATGTCTCTGTGAAGAGTGTTATTTGCGTGTAAATACTGAATTCCTTTGGCCGTGTCCAACATCAGTTTGATTCGCATTTTCATGATAACTTCGTCAGACATTTTATGTTTCATCAGGTCTTGCAGACTGCCATATTTAGCCAATTCAGTGACCATACATATCCGATTTGGTATGAAACACGCTCCATAGAATCTTATGACATATGGACTCACAAATTTGGCCAACATCGCAACTTCCTTTCTGAATTCGTCCATCTTCTTATCCATCTGTTTCTCAGCAGCTGTTTTGTCTCTTGTCGTCATCGAAGAGTTGTTAGTCGTGTTATTTTTCGTCGTACTTTTTGTTGTGTTCTTTGCCAAATTACGACTTGAACTTTCAACAGTCGAATTCTTTGTAAACCCTTTTGCTCCTAATTTTGCGACAACCATTTCCTTCATCTCTTTGATGGCAACAACATTTCCTCGATATGCTCCTTTGTACACAATCCCAAAACTTCCTTCTCCAAGTTTTCGCTTTTTCTTCAACTCGTCCGGGTCAAGTGCTGTCGACATTTCTGACGCAAATTTGACGGGAATTTTAATCTCTGAAATTTTGCCTTTGTTGATGTTTAAGACTGAACAAGTGATGTCAACAGTCTTCTCAAGTGTACACAGTGGATGAACAGTAACAGTAAATTCAACAGCACGACCTTTCTTGATACTTACTGGAGTGGAAGGTTCAACATTCAACTCAAACTTTTCTTCGTCATTTTGTGTTGTGAATTGAATTTTCAATAAAGACGCTCTGTCGTTGCCAATCATGAATTTACAGTCACTGTCTTTTTGAACTACAATTTCTCCTTCAAAACGTATTTCTTGTGTTGAACACAAAATGCGTTCTTTTTGAGTACCAAGATATACCATCTCAACCCCTTTCTTTTTCAAATCCTTTAACAGAAATTCATTCACAAGTGACTTCCTCAACTTCTCTTCTTTCCTGTAATGAATGTAGAAAAGTATAAAACTTATTGTTATGATGATAATAACAACTATTAAAATACCAAAGATGATTGGAAGTATAATTGCAAGTACATTTGTCTTGTGAACACACTCGTCTCCATTTGGTCCAACTTTGTTGCTGCCACCACATTCACTGCATTGGTGGGTTTTTAAATCATATGATTTACAATTTACAATTAAATTCCATTTGACACATTGCGACGTTTTGGATATCAAAACGTATTGATCTACACATGTCGAACATGTGTTATTGTTTGAACATGTCGCACATAAGTCATTGCATTTTGTGCATTTGTAATATTTGTTTTGATAATACCCATTGTAACACACAGCATACCCATATTCTGAAACCCATTCACAATTTTCAAGTGTTGTTATTGTGACACATTTCTTATCTTCTATTGTTGTAAATTCGACATCTTCGAAATACCCACCTTTTACATTGCACTTCACACAATTCGAAATGTTTCCAACACAACTCAGACACTTTTCGTCACATTTTACACAATCTGTATTGATGAGGATATAGCCCTCGTTGCATGCAGCACAATCGACACCACTTGGTAAGAACAATTTGCATTTTTCAGCAAGTTCACCAACATAAATACAGTCGTTGTTTGTCGTGTCAAAATAATACCCAAAAGCACAAGTAAAACAACTCTCTGCGTTTTTAAAACAACTTGAGCACTTCTTGTCACATGGAAGACATTCAGTACCACTCAGATAATACCCATCAGAGCACTTGGCACACCCCGTGTTGCTATTTTCTTTGCAATAAATTGTCTTTATTTCAGTGTTACAAATTGATTCACCTTCATTGGACGTTCCAAGTGAGATTTGTGAATCACATTGAAGGCAATCGCCCGATGATGAATATGAGCATAGAGTCGTTTCCATTGATACACATTTTTTGGTTTCATCAAATTTGTACTTCTCTTCACAAATTGCACATTTTGAAGTTGATAAGTCGACACTTTGGCAATGCCCGGTAGACATATCATTACATTGTGTGTCACTCAAAATGTATTCATTTTCACATAATGAACACTGTACCTCATTGTTTGCTGTGATAACAACGGATTTGCAGTGAATTTCACTTAACATTTTGCACGACCCAAGAAGAAGATAATAACTATTATTACACGCAGTACATCCACTTGGCGTTGACACCAAACAATTTGAAAGTGAAACACAACTTCCATTAACAAGAGTAAATCCATTTGAACATACCTGACACAAAGTAGGTGTTGTGCAAGTCAGACAATTATCACCACACGACTCACATTGTGGTGGATATACTTTATTTAAAAAGTATTTTGAGTAACATTTTATACACAGTCCTTTCGATAACGCCTCACATCCAACATCTTCACTTTTTAATGTTACATATGTTTTGGTCTGTGAAGACTCGATGTATCCTTCACATTTATAAGTGTTGCCACTTTCCAAATAAAAAGAACATTTTTGTGTTCGTTCCATGTCGGCACAATTACTATTCAAGTTGATTGAGTTGGAACATTCTATACATCCAAACCCTTCTTGGTACTTCTGACAGTATTTGTGGTTCTCATATGATAGTTTTGCATCTAAACGAGCGGTGTGCTCAAACAAGTTTGTGTATTGGCAATTTGTTCCATTCGTACAAGTCGAACATCCCGTAGTACACTCGATTTTATATCCCTCATTATCTATCAAATTTGTTGTTGTCACACATTTCTTGGTTTCTCGAGACTCAAACGCCATGCCATTTTGGCAAGCAGAGCACTCCAAATTGTCAATGTCAATTCTTGAATTGAGTTGTTTGTAGTCACATGAATAACACCCATAAAACAAATTAGAACACTTCATACTGAAACTTTCCGACACTTTGAACTCATCTGCTAAAATGTCAACACAATTTCCTTCAGTATCCAATATCTGTCGATTGGATTCGCAGTTTGTTGCTCTTTTAATGCTCATCGAAGTTGTTTTTGCAACACATTTGTTGTTTACATCCAACACAAATCCAGTGGAACACAATATACAAGTTGTTGAATTGTCGCACAACTGGCACTCACTCAATGTAGTGTCACATTTTTGACACACCATCTTCCAGATAAAATCTTTTTGACTCACAAACTTCAATCAAATTTTCTGTTGTTGAGCATTTGCCACTGTTTTGGTGTTCATCAAAGCACAGTTTGCATTTATTGGTTGTTTTGTCAAGAGTGTATGGCTCTTCACACATTTCACACATTCCATTAATATCACATTTAACACACTTTGTAATGTCACAATCTTGAGAACATGTTTGAGTTATTCCATTGTTGTACAAATTGAGTCCATCGTTGCATTTTGTGCACATTGTTTCATTTTCACACTCTGAACAACCAAACAGTGCATCACACCCAACACATCGATTGTTCTTCAAAAAGTAATGTGGCTAACAAGAAAATACTTTTTTCATTGTACACGTGGCAGAGTTACTGAAAACCTCACCACACAATTTACACTCGTTGTCGAGGTAATACCCATCTTTGCAGGTGTGACATTTCTTTGATGTTGACGAACATGTTTTACAGCCATTTATTGTGAGACACGACTTGCATTTTCCTTCGTCTGGATAATATCCATCAACACAATGCAGGCACGTGAGTTCATTTGAGCAACTTAGACATTTGTTAAGAGTTGAACATGACTCACACAACTCATTCTTTGTGAAGTAATTTTGGGCACACAACAAACATTTATTGGGGATTGTGTTATCACAGAATTTACATCCTTTAAACGTGGAACATGACAAGCATTTAGAAGAGTCGGTGTTTTTCGTTGTGTTGGTTACACAGGTATCACAACTTCCATCTTGAGCACACACAAAGCAGTTATTCACTGAGCATTTGCTGCATTGCTTGTTTGAGTCGATATAATGTCCTTCCACACACGAAGTGCATTCATTTTTGGTACTTGTCTTACAACCAATAACAACATCACCACATTGCTTGCATCGACCTTCAGACACCAAGTAATTCTTTTCACATAAAGTGCACCTCTCTCCGACGCCTTGAAGGCACTTCGCTATTTTTGCGCATTGGCCTGCGTTGTTGATAAACATGTCCATACACTTTGTACACTCTTTTGTTGAAGTCTCGTTGTTTGTGAGATAATTGATGCATTCAGAACACCCATACAATAACGTGCACTCGTGACATGATATTTCTGGATAATGTGACGGTTTACAAATATAACAGATCGTTTGATTAAAGTTGTTCAAAGTTACAACACCACATTTTTCACAATTGTCATAGATTTCTTCACATCTCAGACACACACTTTCATAGTGGTAATATCCTTCTTCACAAATATCACATCCTTCGGTTGTAAAAGTGGTGCAATTGGCGTCAATAGAACTGACATAACAATCTCGATATTTGATCACATTTTTTGTTGTCTCCGTTTGCGTCTTAATGCACCTTCTCCCTATTTTGATGTACAAATCATCACAAACAACACATTCATTGTTTTCTACAACTTTGCATCCTTCTACAGTCACACACTTTCCCGACACCAAAACTTGACTCTGATTTGGGCAGTTATAACATAGCCCACTCATGTATTCACACCCAAGTGAGCCACACCCTTCGCATGTCACACACTTGTTGTCATCAACCCAATACTCATTTTCACATGAATCACAATGTGGTGAGATGTCAGTAGAACTACATGTTGTGCATTTTTCATCAATTGTCGAGCACTCTTCACAAACTCCGTTGTTTATATAATACCCATTGATGCATGATGTACACATACTCGAGTCGCACGACATACAATTTCTTGTGAGACAACTAACACAATTATTTTCAGTGTTGACAAAATAACCATCAACACAACTTGTGCATTGGGTAGCAGAGTCACATGTTGTACATTCACTTGGACATGGTCTGCAATACTCTTGGTGTACATAACTTCCACTGGAACAAATGACACAACTGTGTGACGTTTCATTGTATGTATAATTTGTGGAACAAACAGAACAACTCTCTTTGGAGTTGCAAACATCACAATTCTCAGGTGCCCGGAAAATCCATTCTGGGTAACTCATTCTAAAAAATAATTATTTTTTGTATTTTTTAAATGGTAAACTCATTATGGAAAACTCATTCAATGTAAAAGTTAACTTTTAATAATTATCTAAATAAATTGTAACATTTTATTAAATTCTCAATTTTTATATATTAATTTAGCAAATGATATTTATGTTTTAATATACACGTATGTATACTATTAAACCATATTTTTAAATATAATTAATCATTTTTTATATTTTCTAATGTTTTTTCTGATTGTTTTAATATCAAAACTATTTCTTCTTTGTAAACAACACCCGACTCTAGTCTTTTCTTTGTAAACCACTGCAACTCTTATGATGCTAACTTCATCTTCATCATCTTCATCGAAACATCCTTCTTTTTGTATTTTAATATCTTTTTCTTTAATACTATCTTCATTTCCAAGTCCAATTTTAATTTTTTCGATGTCAATTATTCCATCATCATCTTCATCAATTTTAAGCAAATTGTGATTCGACATAACTATTTCATCTTGCACGTTGTTGATTATGATACTTTGTTCGAATTGTTTTTCGTTTACCAGTGCCCTCTTAGCTTCCCAAAGATTTTCAAATAATTTATCTTTGTCAGGTTGTTGCCCAGAGTAATAATTTCTGATGTGATTCATTATAAGTTTGTTTTGTCTTGAATATTTTGGACTTTTTCTTGTGCTTTGTCCTTCTATCAGTTGATTCCATTTTTTCGTGTCTTTTTCCTCTAAATCACACAATTTTCTAAACCATTCTGATAATGTTGGTTTTGATCTTAAAAGTCTCTTAATAAATGCAGAATGATAAGACTCTGAATAATTGTTTGTTCTGATATTTTGTAAATATAGACACCAAAATGATAATAAGATACATTGTATCCATCCAAGTATACTTGAAATATTTTACCTAATTTTGACATACTTCACTATGATACAATTTTTTAGTTTTGAGTTAAGTAAATTCCAATTTTATATCTTGAGGTTTTGAAAATGGAATAACATACAATTTGTTTATAAGAGACGTGAAATTGTCATCATCTAGTTGAACTTTTATAAAACCACCTGTTTGAACTTTTCTCCAAAGTGCTTGGCAATAATGGAAATAACATCCTTTAATCAGACATTTAAACTGTTTTAAAGCATTAATAACGGCCATTTCATAATCAATCATAACAATTTTATCTTTTCCAAATATGTCAAACCCAACATTTTGAGAAATTATATCAATTTCTTTAAAAAGTGAAGTGTACATTTTTTCTTCAAAACAAGTGGTTAAACAAAAATATATTTTGAATAAATCACCAGTTTTCGTGGTTCCATGCACTGAGTACAACCGTGAAAAATTATCTGGACACGACTTGAAAGTCCCATCCATTAAAATATAACAAATTGATTTTATTTCTTTGAGTTTGGAAATGTTGCTATAAATAACAAATTCTTGTGTTTCTATTAATTTGAATTCACCATAATTTTCATTTAAATGAACATCTTCTTTTTGTTTTTCTTTTGCTTTTTGCATGTTAATTTCCTTCAAAATTGTACTTACTCTTCTGGAATCTTTGTTTCTGTCAATTTTATCTAATAATATAGATCCAGGAACAGATAAATTGTCTTTATTAGTTGCAAGTTCTTGTATTTTGTTATTAATACCGAGTTTGATAAACGGATAGTGTGGTTTGTGATCATGTTTAAACATTTCAGAAGTGTATTTGAATGAAATAAATTTTGTTTTATCATGTGGATCTCTAATAGCTTCGATTGTAACTGTACAATTCTTATCTTTACATTTGAAAGCGCAAGGGTTGCATCCAGTTTGGTGAGACACATAATCATTAATAACAGGTAAATAATGTTGTCTTTGATTTTTTACAAACAATACGACTTCTTGTTCGTTGTTAATATTCGTTTCAGGTTGTTGAATTGATGTAACCCTTTCTTTTTCTTTTAAACTGTCGAGAGTAGTTGGTTCGATACTTTCATCGGGTTCTATATTGTTAAACATGAATAGACCACCGGTTAAAGTATCATAAAAAACATTAGGTGTATTGGTCGGCATGTAACGTAGAAATTGGTTGGGTTGACCAAAAAAATTCATTTATATTAAAACGATTCAATTTTTATTCAATTATAAATGAATCGATTTTTACATTTTATAAGTGAGTGATATTTGTTTCTTTAATTTAATCAAAATGGTTTAAATATTAATGATAAATAAATTAAAATACAGTATAATCCGGGTTTAATTCACTTAAAATATTTTGGAACTATCGGGTTTAATTCCACTTTTTTCAAGAAAATTATTTTAAATGGTTTTTAAATCAAAAATAATTGATGGAATTAACTTTCGGTAGTTTCATAGTTATAATTATTTAATAATTATCTGATTCAACCAAAAACAAATGGTGATGGTAAAGGCTTTTTCATCGTCTCTAAAAATAAAGTTTTTTTTTAACTATTTAATATAATATTTTAATTAAAATTTTAGTAAATGGGAAATTGGGATAATATTTGGCCTGGTTCCCGAATTAAAAATATGTCGATAATTCACCTCGAAACAGTGGAAACCGAGTGAGACAAATATCGAAAAGAAGGCACAGGCGGTCTGTTTGTGCACCCGTTCCACACACTTTCAATGTCCTCCTTAGCACAGATCCCAATGAACGCCCCGTTTGAAAAGGGACCACATCCGCGTCCAAACAGTACGGAGGAGGAAACTGGGTGACATGGGGACGCACAAACAGTGGCTGAAAAGTGGACTTCCTTCAAAAAACACTCGCGGCAAATACTTTGTTAAGGTGATAATGAAACAAGTGTGTTTAAATAAATAAAAACGAATAAAAAATAGAGTTCATTATGTTCGTTTTTATTTATTCATTATTTAATAATAAGTAATTTATAATATTATAGTACCGAAAAATAGTTTCAGATACAAAAATAATGCATTTTTATTCAAAAACAAATATTCTGATTAATTTAGGTGAAAACCCAATTATTTTTCATAAATTTAAACAAAAAAAACAAGACAATGATAATAAAACTCAAAAGTGTTGTTTTTATCATTTTTTCTTTCTTCGGGTTTAATTATTTTTGAATGAATTAAACCCGATTATTTAATTAAACCCGGACTGGAATTAAACCCGGATTATACTGTAATTAATTCTTTTTTTACCTTTTTATTTTTTGCATAGAATGAGTTTTCCATAATGAGTTTACCATTTAAAAAATACAAAAAATAATTATTTTTTAGAATGAGTTACCCAGAATGGATTTTCACCCCACTAAATTCTCAATACAATTTTCACACGTTTTGTCATTCAAAAAAAATTTCAAATTGCATGATATACATGATGTTTGGTCACATTCAGAGCAATTGGGAATATCTCCACAAATGGCAAAATTGTCTCCCAAATTAACAAACCCATTTTTACAGGCGATACAGTGAGTGCTGTTGCAAATTTCACAATTCTCAAAATCAGAACAATCGAAACAGTTCTCTCCATTTAAAGTGAATGGCATTTTACATCTCAAACACGTTGAACTGTCACATTCAACACAATTTGTGTTATATTCACTGCAATTGTAACAACTGTATGCAACCTGAGATGCTCCTTCTTTACAATGCAAACACTCGTCACTTGAACACGAGTCACACATCCCAAATAACCCAACACAATCAACACACTTTTCTTCATACAAACTAAAATCAGTTATGCAACTGAGACATTCAGTCTCGTTACATGTCGCACAATTGGCGTATTTGTACCCACATTCCGTGCATTTTCCATTGTCGAGATAAGTGATGTCTCCGCATTGTAAACACACTGTATCATTACACTCTTCACAATCAAAATACTCTTCGGAACACTTCTGACATCGACCAGAAAAGACGCCATATGATGGGTAACATGTTGTGCACTGCTTTTCATTTGAACACAACAAGCACTTTGAATCAAGTTCTGTGCATTCCATACAAACATTTGTTGTGGTGTTTTCAATAATATCTGAATAAAAAGTGTTTTCACAGAATTGACAATTGTCACTTTCGGTACAACTTAAACAATTTTTGATGCAATTTTTGCAATTCATTCCTTTAAGGTAGTCTCCATTATCTATTGGACACGTGGCACACTTCATTTCATCTTCTTTGTAATGGTAATATGTGTTATGACAGGTGTTACATGAAAACGAGTTGTCACATATATCACACCCTTCAACACAATTGTCGCACAATCTCGTTGTTGTGTTGTAATACATATGATCTAAACAAGTAGTACACCCTTCAATTGTACATTCAATGCAATTCCCAAACTCAGAGCATAAACTACACAACTTGTTGTCGTTGAGATAAAACCCCGTTTGGCACTCCAGACATTCAAATTCAGTGCATTTAAAACAGCCAATTAATGTGCATGGCAAACATGTGTTATCTTTCAAGTAAAACCCATCTTTACATTCAGTACAAACTGTAGCACTTGTACATAATGTACAATTCTCATTACACTTATTACAGTCATTTCCATCAATATAATACCCTGACTCCAACTCACAGAATCCACACTTCATTTTTTCAGCATCGTATTTGTAATTAGCACTACACGCCGTGCATTTATTAATATCACACTCGTAGCACTCTCCATAATACTGACACGTCTGGCATTGTCCACCTATATATAAAAAGCTGGGTTCACACTCTTGACAAGTTGTCGAACTACTACACACTTTACAATCGTGCACATAACTTCTGCACATTGGATAACAATTGTGTGTTATTTCATAATCCGCAATTTCATTTGGCCCACATGATGCACATGACAAACCAGCATTCCATGAATATTGTCCACATTTGGATAGTTGTATCTGTTCAACATCTCCACATTCTTCATATTGCCCATTTAAATAATAAATAATCCTAAAATAATCATTTGGAATAAACCAACTCTTTGTATTAACAACAAGATATATAACATTGTTTGTGTCTTTTGGCATTGAATCTGTAATTGAATAATATTCATAAATGGTGATGGATGATAACGGCGTTGAATAGAAAGCAGATAAATCGATAGTTCTTGCGATCATACTTGTTATGTTAACAAGGTAAGTACACCCAGATAACATCTGCGCTGGTACTGTTGGTAATCCGGTAAGATCGATGTCGGTGAGATTTTTGCAATTAATAAAAGAGGCGACATCAGCACTTATTAACCCACCAGGAAAATGCAACTTTTTGATAGTCAAGCAATTTGAAAACCCATATGAACCAACTGAAAGGGAATGTGGTCCAAATTTGATTTGAGAAACAGAGGAATATGCTAAACCTTGATACCCAATCGAAGTTACCGAGTCCATACCAATAATACTTACTAATTTGGTTGTGTTGTGGAATGTATTATCATTAATAGAAACCATATTTCGTAAGTTGATGGTCCGAATATGTGAACTTGAAAAACAAGTATTCCCCATACTTGAAAACCCACCCATTGATATCACACTCTCTACACTGGAAACAAAAAATGTGGATTCTTTTAACTCAACTGGAGTGGTGCTTAAAAAAGTTACAGATTTAATTACATAATTGGTTTTAAATAAAGATGCTTGTGTTGTTATACATTTGGCATCGACAATATAATCTTGACACATGTCTTTGACAGAAGAAATGTCTGTTGTCGAAAGTTCTGTTGTTTCACATGTTACTTGGCAACGCGTAGTTGAATTCACACACAAGAAAATAAGAAAATAAATAAATAAATGTAACGTTTTCATGCTCTTTTTAATGGATTATTTATATATTAATAGTTTATTTTTGTATTTTTTGTTATTCGAAAAATAACTTATTTCCATCATCTAATTATGAACTACACAAAAGTGTAGTTCATAAAAAAGTTTTTTAATTCGATCCTAATAAATTATAATTTTTAGTAAATTTTATTATATAATTGGTATACTATATCTAGTTAATTTATTAATAAAATTATAATTCTTTTATTAACTCATAAAAGAAATATAACAACTATTCGAATTAAAATTATTTTTTATCTCAACTAATTATAATATTCTATTAATATTTTCAAATGGAATCAAAAAACAACATCCCTTTAACATGTGTTACATTAACAAACACTTCCAGCCACTCTTTTCCTTTTTCAATTTATTCAAATCAAATTTGAAAGGTGTTTCTCCGTAGTTGATTGTGATTTTATTAAAAATATTCAAACCTATAGCAGCATCAATATGATTCGCGTCGAAATGAGTTTGAAATACGATATTTCCGTTACAAGTGAAGAAGACTGTATTTCTATTATTTTCTGTGATTTTCTCAACACCGACACCAATGATATTTGTCTCACCTGCTTTCTCGCCGTATTGGATGTTAGTCTCAAAATCTCCTGTTCCCGTTCCAATATAGATAGTACCATCATCACTATGAAATCCAATACTCCCTTCCAACCATCCAATTTGTGAATCTCTGTACTCCTCACATTCATTCGTGTCAAGAAGACCAACACTACACCAACTAAATCCCGTAACTGCAATTTCAAAGTACGCAACTTTTTCAATCGAATTAATTGTATTTGGTTGTTGCAGATCAATATAACGCATTTTGTTGTCACTTGTGGACTTATTAAAAAAATCCAACGAAAGTAGAACGTCGTACTCTTCATCTGAAACTTCTTTTCTTCTCACTATTTCATTCCCTTGAATAACAACTCTCTGACTCGTCGAAATGAATTTGTGCATTTTCCACTCGTTTTCTTCTTTCATTTGAATTGGAAATTCAACTATATTTGGAGTGTTTTCTTCATTCTGTATATCGGAATACTTCTGGAAATATTCATCGCAGTCAATTCCGTTAAAAGTGATACCTTCGCTTTGATTAAAAGTCGCAACTTTTCCGTTCAAATTAATTTCTAGAAATTTGATATTTTGTGACTTCACAACAACAAGGGTTTGCAGCTCTTCAATTTCTTCCGAAAATTCAATTTGACTCGATGAAAAAATCGACACCTTTTGGAGCGCAACATTCTTATTCAAAAATTTGATATTATTTGAGTTCCACATATAAAACATTAAAAGTTTCTTCATATGACATTCCTCATTAAACGTGATAATACAACTATCTTCAATCGACATCTCTTCCATCACTTTAAACTCGTTATCAAATTCCACGTTGTTACAATTACAAATTCGAAGCGAACAAATACACGAAAAATCAATGTCGAGTTTGAGAGATCTTTCAAGATCTTCATTGACAAAGCCTGCAGTACTCACGACTAATGTGTTCACACACTTTGGTATCATCCATCTCTCTTCTTGTTTTTTATTGGAATAAAGAAATGACACTTTTGTGGCATACGCACGTTCTATAACTTCATTAACATTTGCGCCCATCGAGGATCCTTCCACAAAGACTTCCCCACCGTCACATTTAAAATTGTTTTTCCACTTCTCGCACATGGCGTCAGTGCACACAAAATAGACGTATTTCATTTTCCTAAATGTATTTAACACTTTTTCATCTGTTGGGTGCCGAGACACTTCAATATAAATATCGCTCCTCTGATTGTCTGGTATGAGGCTTTCCAACTTCTCCAATTTTGTAATCATATTATTGTCAAGTTGGATGTTAAATGAATTCTCCGAATTGACATGAATTAACTGTGGAAGACGTTGATACATCTCTTTCCCATTTTCAGTGTATATCTCCAGAAACTCAATGAGATAGTCCAAGTCTGTTTGCAAGTAATACAGCGAAGTAAAATATTTCGCATTTTTAATAATAAACTGCGCTGTGTTTTTATAGAGTTCCATATCTTCATCCCATTCGTTTAATTTAAATAAAACCATTCGCGTCACTTTCGGAAATACATTCCGTGCAAAATCTTCGTCCATCAGCCCCGTCTTAAATAATTGGCAGAAATTCACGTTTCTCACTTGGTTACAAATATAGAAAAGATCCACGTTGTTGTAATCGAGAAACCCCAAGTCCATTGTATCGGGGGTAAAATGTTTAGTGAACCACAGTAGAGAAGGTTCATTCGTCACTATAGGGTTCACCTTTAAAGCTTGTAATGTCGAAAGGCATTTGTGCGAGATTTGGAGAAAATTGAACAAATCGCCTTTTGTGAATAAACCCATCACTACTTTCATTAAATAAACCATCTCTAACTGTTTTGGCATCGTTTGAGTTTTGAGTTGTTAATGAGTATATATTTTTGTTAAATTATTATTGTTATTATAATTATTAATTTACTATATTATTTTTTCATATAAATAATTTATTTATTATTAATTTAATTATGTTAATTTTTTATAAATTTGTATTAAATAAATTAGAATGTTAAATTATAATGTTTATTGTATTATAGCTGTTGGGCGACTTTTGAGTTTCCTAAAAAGTCGCTGACCTATATTTATAATTCAAATACAATAAAATTACTTATAATAAAGATAAATTAATCAATATTAAAACTATTTTAAAATCATTATATAATTATTTAAAATAACTATAAAAAATAAAAAATAAAATAAAAATTGATGAATAATAATGATGATTTTGTGAGAAAAAGAAACAAAAGGCAAAAAGTAAATAAGTAAAAATTAATATTGCCACAAAAAATAAACTTGAGATTAAAATGAAACTTAAAAATAATCTCTCGATTACATGAGCACCACACCTTTACGTTTTCTACACAAGTTTTCTTTTCGTGTCAATCAAGAAGTTAATATACACACAAATCACCCACCACTCAAACGAACGATAAAGAAAGGAACAAGAAATAACAAAAAGAAAAAAAAAAGAAACGTCAAATCAACTCAATATATGGAGGAAGTATCTATACAACAAATTACTACAAATCAACTAATATTACAAACAACACAAAGTGAAGTTAATCAGTTGACACAACGGTCTTTAATAACTCTCAAAATAACAGCCAATCAACACATATTGCACAAAGTCAACAGAGTGTCAATTTAATTCCACAGACCCTTCACATACAACAAATATTTCAACACCAGAATATTCAAAACACTCATAACATTAACTCTGATAATTCGATACACAATTCACAGTACAATGAAGCTACACAAACAACATGCCAAACAACTGAACATCATCAACCACTTTTGACCATGGTCGAAACTCAGAAACAACCATCACATAACAACACTTTAATTGCGTTGCAAAGATCATTAATTGTCAATGAGGAAGAATTTGAAGAATATCACACTGGAGACACACCAACAAGACAGAGTCGTCGAAGTGAAAATGAAATTGATTATAACGCAGAAATGACAATAGAATCTACATACCCAACAAAACCCATTTCCAATGAAAAACGTTTAAATTATCCAATAAAAGTGTTTTTAAAACGTACATCATCAACAATTGTTGATTTAACAGGATTCACAAATGATGAATTTGACGATATTTTCGATATAATATTTTACAATGGAAGATGGGACGCTGTAAACAGAAAATATGTTAAACAACGAATTGATTTAAATATACTTTTAGTGAAAGAAAATCAAATTTTGAATTCAAAAGAATTATTTTTATTACATTATTTATTTACTACTTACATTTCTCAGGTGAGTTCAAAAAACATTCAAGAAAATAATATTTTTCGTTTTATATTCTTCAATTTATACTCGTTTCCACAAAACTTCAATATGTTTTCATCAAAAGTTCATATATAAAAATATACACATTATTATAAATAATAAAAACTGCTACAATAAATTATAATTACATTTATAATAAATACATAGCTATTAATTAATATGTTTGTATTTTAATAATAAATCGAAAATGTTTAAACAATATTTAATAATAGTTACATTATTACATTTAATAAATTATATAACACATTAAAATAGTTGCAAATATTATCTTGTGAATGTATAGATAATTATTATTTATTTTTGATATATATAGAAAAATCTATTTATTTTACGAATATTTTATTAAATTAAATTAAAGAAATAATAATAACGAAAATAACAATATTTAATATTTAATGATAACAAAGTTAACACAAATCACATTCTTCTTATTTAAAAAATATTATTTTATATATTATATAGATATTAATTACTAAATAATAATTTATTATAACATATATTGTTATTAACTTTGTACAAAATAGACATTATATTATTTTACCATATGAAATTTTTGGATATACTACTTAAAATGTAACATAACAACAATTAAATTCGAAAAATCTTTTACTAAATTAACAATTAAGTTTTTATTTGTTAATTATTAAACTATTTATTCATAATAATTTACCCTAAATTTATGTCGAATTCTTCTAAACACGTTTTATCTCAAGAAATGAGTCAAAAGCCAACAAAAATGGTGAATATCTACCACTTCCAATTGTTGACGGATTCGTTTTTCATCCTTCAAATTCCGAAAGAAAAAATTTAAATGCACTTTTAAAAATTGCCCTGTTAAAATTATTATAAAGAAAAGTGTAGGTTCGGGAAAAACTTGGAAATATGAAGATTTTGAATTTGAATCAATTGAAACCAAACACATTTATCACCCAAAATCAAGAGAAAACAAAACATCTCGTTTGGTACTTTTGGAAATGGCACACAAAAAGGAAAACTTTTTTAAACGAAACGATTCTGTGGTCCAAATATATTTAGAACATAATAACGACAATAGAAAGATTGATTCAATCAAAAAAGAATATTCATACGAAAAACACAAAGCCATTGAGAAAATTGCAAAAGAAATACAAGAAGATGAGAATTACTTATTTATTAAAAAAGAAGAATACTTTATTTTTGCAAACAAAACTAAATTGATGGAATTGAGTGAAATGTACTTTTCTTATATTTGTATGGATGGTACATTTTCAAGTTCACCAACGGAATTTACACAATTATATACCTTTCATGTAATATTAAAAAACGGACAAACATTTATTTTATTTCATGTGTTGATGACAAAGAAAACAGAAGAACAATGTTTATTATTATTAAAAGAACTTGACAATATTTATTATAATATTACTAATAAAAAACTTTTTTGTAATAAAATACAAATTATGATGGATTTTGAAGTTGCTATGTTAAACGCACTTGGCAAATTTGATTGTATAGTTCATGGATGTTATTTTCATTTTTGTCAAGCAGTTTGGAGAAAAGCGCTCAATCTTAAAATGGAACTATATTATGGTAATATTAATTATAAAACAGTAAAATATTTGATGGCTCTGGCATTTTTTAAACCCAAAGATATAATAAAAGCTTTTCGTTTTATTGAAAATAAGTTTGTCGTGTTATTATTAGACGAAGAAAAGAAACAATGCATAAATTGCTTGAATATTTTTACAAAGTGTGGATTGATGGAATTTTTCCACCTGATTTGTGGTGCCAATATTTACAAAAGACTCGAACTGACAATACGTCAGAAGCATACCACTCGGCACTTCAAACAAGGATACCATGTGTGCATCCCAGACTAGAAGATTTAATATTAACATTGGTTAAAATAGAAAATAAAGACACCAGAAAACTCAAACAAATGAATTTAGCACAAAATCACCACCAAAGAGCGCCATTTTCTGAAAAAAACACTCGCTTGAAAGATGCAACTTTAAATTTTTATTCTGGTGAATGGACAATTAACAGATTGGAAACATATTTTAATAACATTGTCGCGGTTTTGGAAGATTTGAAACACGAAGAATTGTTTGAAGATCAAAAGGATACATTGGAATCACTAGTTCCAAATCCATGGAATAACTTATTAAAAATCGATGAAAGTGATTTAAATGAAGTGGAAAAAAGCGAAACAATGGTTTATCAAATGGAGTGTGATACATTGCCATTGAATATATCGGAAATAGAAAAATCAAGAAAAATAAAAAGTACAAGAAAAAAAAAGAAAATAAAAATAAACGAAAACAAAAAATTGAAAAGGAAAAAACCCAAAAAGACATAGAGTAAAAACAAAGAAAAAGAATTGAGTGTTGTTTAATGAAAAAACGTAAAAAAATTGCCATTTCCAAAACAAAAAAGTAAATGATTTTTAGATGTAGTGTTATTCTTAAGTTATAAAAAACAAATTCAAGGTTATTAGTTGTTATTATTGATATAATTATTGTTAGTTATAAAATTGTTTGTAATATTTCTTACAACTTTGTTGTTTTCAAAGTTATTGCTTTTTAAAAATACACAAATAAATATTTATTTATTAGGAAAATGTCAAAACTCTTTAAATAGTTAAAAATTTAAAATCTTTTTTCATTCTGGAAAAAACCATGAGTTACAATTTTAACTTTTAAAAAGAAAGGGACTACATTAAAAATAATATTAATAAAAAATATCTAAATTGTAAACGTGAAAATCTTGGTTATTGTTTCATTGTTATGTAATATGTCGTTCAAATATCAACATTTTGTATTAAAATGATATAAAAAATTAAATAGTTTATTTACTTGATTGTAAAATTAATAATATATAAAATTTAATCAAAATATATTTTCATAAATGCTAAAAACTAAAAATTTCTATTTTCATTAACAAATCAAAGTTAATTATGTTATAAATTTAAAATATAACATAACTTACAGTAGGAACACTTTTTTAGTTGTAAAACGTGCCCATATCAAGAATTTTATGAATATATCATTTAATAAAAACTATTTTGATTAATTAAAAATTAATATATTATATCACACATTAATAGTTTAATTAAGATTTAACAATAAAAGTATTATGTGAAGCAATTTTAAACATTTTGCAAAGTGACCGTATTGTATTTTGTCGTGTTAATATGTTTAAATATAAACATAAAATAAAAAACATTTTTATTGTATTTATATAACAACTATCAGCATATTATGTGTGAACTATTATTATTAATTAAAAACAAATAAATAAATTTTTGTAATTTATAACTTTTTAAATATTTAAAAAATTGCATTTGAACTTTTTTGAAACGAGAATATTTTGAAAAATATTAAATGAAAAATATTATTTCTTTAAATATTTTTTGGAGACTTCGTCTGCTTTTACTCTTTGATGATACAATATTTATTTTTATATTTTATGTATATAAACCGAAAATCATAATGTGGTAGTAAATTATTTTTTAATATTATTTTATTATTTTTAATAGTATATTTCAAAAAAATGTAATTTTTCTTTGTATAATTCCACGCTTTCTTTAAAGCAAATGATCAAAATTATTATAATTTACAAGAGAAGACGCGTTTTTAAGACAGCAATTGAAATAGTGTTAATTACTAGGGTTTTTACGAAACTAAAAAAATATTTAAATATCATGACCGATTCAGAAAAATATCGATTGCAAAAAATTGAAGGAGCGAGAAAAGCGCTTTTAAAAGGGATGACATACATGGAAGTTAAAGACATGTTTTCATGTCTTTTCGTGACATTTCTTCTTTAAAAAAAGATATTCAACAAGACAAACCAGTGGTATTACATAAAAGAGGAAGACGGACAAAATTCGATAAAGAATTCACACAGAAAGTTACAGATCTAACTTTAAATGACGTTTTTTCATCTTCGAAAAAAGTCGGAAAAGAAGTAAAAGGCAGTGCATCAACAGTCAACAGAACCAGACACAAAGAAGGATTTATTTTTACCAAACAAACAAGTAGACCGTATATGAAGCCAATTCATTTTAAAAAGCGACTTGATTTTTGTAAAAAACAGACCGAAAAACGTTCGAAAGTTGATGCATTCAAAAAATGGACAACAAGGACGATATTCACAGACGAAAGTCGCTTTTGTTTGTTGTCGGATGGACGGTACATTTGGAGGAAAAAAGGAGAACACCCAGAAGAGTCCTTTGTTGATTGTGCGAAATACAATGTTTCTACTATGGTATGGGGAGGTATTGGTATAAATTTCAAAACCAAACTGTCTTTTTGTCAAGGTAAAATGAACAAAGAAGGTTATGTTCAAATGTTAAAAGACAATGGGGGTTTTGAAGAAGCTAAGAAAGTCTATGGCAAGAGATTCTATTTCATGCAGGATGGAGCTCCGTGCCATACAGCCAAGTATACAAGCGAATGGTTTGAAGAAAATGGCATCAGAGTAATAAAAAATTGGCCGCCATACTCGCCAGATTTGAATCCGATCGAGCATTTGTGGAGTATAATGGAAATGCGTTTGAGAACAAAGAAGAGTGCTTTTAAAAATTTAAAAGAACTTGAAAATGAACTAAATGTCGTGTGGAATTCCATATCTTATGAAACCATCAACAATTTTATCGATTCAATGCAAAAACGTTTCGATCTTTGTATCGAGAATGATGGGCGATTCATTGGTTATTTGCTATAATAACTGAATTAACAACTTTATCTAAACCGCTTTATTCACATAAATATTTTAGTGCTTTTAGGTAATTATTTCTTTTATTCTAAAGTATTTTTCTTTAAAGTAATAAATAATTTTTTAAAAAAATAAAGTGGTAGTGAGATAAGAAAAAAAGAGTAACAACAGTAAATAAATACAGTAAAAAATTGGGGTTATTAGGGTTCGGTATTCTATGGTAATACCAATTTGTGGTTTCCAGTTTATGTGAGAGAGAAGCAAGTTATAAGCAAAAATGTTCTAAACTGTGTTATTCCAGTAATTGTAGTGTAATGATTTTAAGTTCAGTTTTGATGTTACACGTTTACACACTAAAATTTATCACATTTTATTTTTGACATTTTATAAAAATGTAAATGTTGTGATTAACAGTGAAATATGATATGTCATCTATTGTTATTAAATTATTAAAATTAATAATCAATACATGTTTCTATTATATATAATCATGAAATTTGATGTTACTAAGGTATATATGTTTAAATATGTCTTTTTATATGAATAATAAGAAAACGATAGTTAAAAAAATAATCGTATATAACAACTCTCTTACATGTAATTATGAACAAAAAGTTGTTGAATGAAAAATTGCACATCGAAGTAGTTACACAATGCAATTGATGATAATCGTTATTTTTGTTTTATGATTATTGTAGTCATTTCACAAAAGTTATTATTTACAATCAATAATTTCAATGTAATAAACAACTATTATTTAAGTGGATATTTAATTTGAGAATTATTATTGTATCAACACTGTTGTATATTTGATTTTTTGTTTATTTGAACGTTTGATTGCGTAGATAACTTTGTTATGAAAATTGATAAAACGATCTGTTAAGGTTAATGATGATTTTATTTAACCAATTCAACAATGTGTAAATTCAGAAAAAAAATTGTGAAATTTTAAAAAATATTTTTTTGTTATTTGGTAAAGAGGAAAGTAAAATGCCGATTTACAAAAAAATAATTAATTCGACCCAAAAGATCTTAAGATTACTTGGGTGGCCTTTAATAATTAAATTATGAAAAATAAATTAAAAACAGTAAATTATTATTGAATAGTGTTAAATTAATGCTTTTGTAGTGTCAATTTCAAATAAAAATAAAATTTTGTTGATAAAGTTAAAAAAGTGTGGTTTTAAAACTTCAATAAAAAAATTATTTGATTTATACAAACTAATTGGTAACTTGTGATTTATCTATCTTTTTCTAAAAGTTATGTTTTAGAATAGTGAACAAAAACAAAAATAAAGTATTTTATAATTACAAAAATGAATTGATTTCTAATTACAACATGTTTGTTCTAATTATAATGGAACACATCACAATAAGTTTATCGACACTTTCATCTTTATTCATACAACAAAACTAAATATTAATTGTTATATTGTTGAGATTTTTATAATTAAAAATGTTTATAATATATTTTAAAATTTAAACTATACTGATGCCAAAAACAACCAAAAATGATTTTTTTGAATGTATTCATGAATGAAATAACAAAATAATATATATACATGTTGGTATGATTATTTTAATAATTTACACATTTTTTCAACATTTTTAAAACTTAAAAAATAACATATATTGTATTTTATTGTCCATTGTTAAAAAAATCGTTATTTATTAATTTAATGTTACAATTATTATTTTTTGTTTATCTTTTCGTAAGAGTTTTCGAATTTAAACACGAAAAAAATACAAAAATAAAATAATTATCTCATTTAAGACTGATTAAAATAATGTTTAATCAATTATATGAAAAACATTTCATTGTTTGTGAAAATTACAATCTTTTCATTATCCATTTCTCATGAGATATATGTTGATATCAACTCGGGAAGCGATGCCAATACAGGAGACTCTAAGATTCATCCATTTGAATCACTCCAAAAAGCCATTTCATCTATCCAATCCAATAAAAATTGGAACCAACAACAATATATGTAAAATCTGGAATATATCCATTTGTGAATAACACGCTTGCCATCGACAGGTGGAGTGTTCCAAACGTTTCATCATCAGTTCCATTAAAAATAACTAAATACCCCAATGAAGATCCTCCAATATTTACTGGTGGAGTGAAAATCCCAATAATGTCCTTTAGAAATTTAGACTCCACAAAAGACAAAAATCAGTATAATAAAATACAGAATTCAATGAGAAAGAAAATCAAAGTCTGTGAACTTTCCAATTTGTATAAGAAAATTGAATTAGGAACGTTTGACACTTCAAATAATCCAGAGATATTCGTTAAAGAAAAACGGTACCACCCAGCTCGATACCCCAATTGGGAATATACAAACACTTCAACAATAACAGACAGAATTTATATATTAAGAAAAGAAGGTTCTTCTGACACACCGGTGTCCCCCGATGTCTCTGGCTTCTATTCTTTTCGAAAAGAAGTGATTTGTGGTAACCAAAGTATTTACAAGAGTGAAAAAAGTTACTTAGGCAAGACATATTACCTCTACAAGAACAATTCAAACTACTGGACATTATCAACCCGTTTTGACTGTGGTGTCCCGACACAGAGTGACGGTGCATATTGGACAATAAAAAGGACGAACATGGCTGGTGTTTTGAATCCAGTCGATTCATCTGGTGCAAAAGGGAAATACATGTTACAAGAGAGCAATGCAATATTCAGAGGAAATATTTGAACGGCATATGTTCCTGACGAAAATAGTGCAACTTTTTATTATTCGAATGATCGTTTGGATCAATATGAAAGTTATGACAGTGTCTGGATACGAGGAAAGTGGTTAATATATTCACAAGAACAGAGCGCAAAAGGAAAAATAAGGAAGAGTGACCGAACAATAACTTTTGATTGAATACTTGGCGATGGCGATTATTTTGGTGTTAAAAGTGGGCAGCCGTTCTACATTTATAATTTGATCGAAGAACTCGATGAAGAAGGTGAATATTATATAGACTATGACGAAAAGAAGTTATACATTATAATGCCAGACAATGCAGATGATATTTGGATATCACAGAGTTTGAGCCCTATCTTTAGAATTCAATTTATCGATAGTGTTACTATTGAGAATTTAATATTTGAATATTCCATAGAGGACTTTGTAGACTACTGGGCAGTTAATTATTGTTTAGTTAACAATTGCACATTTAGACATGGTGGTAAGAAATGGGTCTATTTAGCTGGAATTAAAGACAATAATATTACTAAAAATGTCATTTACGACACGGGCGCTCAATCAGCGACGCTTATGTGTGGTAACATCTCTCAGTTAGTAAGAGGAGAGTGTTATATGGAACATAATTATGCCAACACTTCATCACAAATACAATTTACATTCATCCCAGCATTTTACATTCAAGGTTGTGGAAATTACATGAAACACAATTTAGTTGAAAATGTTCCACATTTAGGGTATCTCTACCATGGTCCTGAAATTGAAATTTCATACAATGAAGCAATCAATATCTGTAACAGTGCATCAGACTGTGGGGCCTTATATACTGGCGCGCATTTAGAGTATCGAGGAGGTTCTATTAAATATAACTTCTTCCATGATTCTAAAGGCTTTGGGCAACCCGGTGGAGGGTCTTTTGTTCTTGGAATATACATCGACGACAACATGAGTGGTCAAGAGATCTTTGGAAACATCGTCGCCAATTTTGTTGGGAATGGCATTCACCACGGTGGTGGACGTGAAAATAATATATATAATAACATATTCTATAACTGCACTTTTGGGTATTATGGCGATGCTCGTGGGCCTTATCGATACCACTATGAAAAGGGTGCAACATATAATTTACTTGAAAATATGGACAATAATGGAGTTGATAGATATAACCCACCTTGGAGTACCAAATACCCCTCATTAAGCAGACTCCCTAGAACAAATGAAGAATTGAAGAAACCAGAAAATCAACACTGGATTTTGCCAGAAGAGTGTGATATTTGGTGTAATGTAATGTATGCATCAACTAATAAAGATGCTGGATATCAAGATGGCGTTGAAAAAATAATAAGAAGATGGGAATGGAACACCAATTCGAGTCAAGACCCAATGTTCTATGATGCATCTAACTTGGACTTCAGAATGAGAGAAAATGGGGAAATTTATAAGTATAACTGTTGGAAGGAAATACCTGTTGAGTACATTGGAATTGATAAAAAAGATGGGTGCAAAAATGTGTTGAAGAATTTACTAATTATTGCCGTGGTACTATTTTCAATTTTCTAAGTCTTTCGGTGATTTTTTCAATAATTGAATTCGTTGGTCATTTTACTATCCATTTATTGATGAATAACTTTTTAAGAATATAAAAAAATTACAACAGAAAAACAATAAATAGTGGTTTAATTGAATGAATGAGAATTCTTGATTGAATTATAACATCAACAAAGCATTTATTTATTATAAATATTTGTAAATTTTATTTAAATATATTATATTTCAATGGTTATTTTTTTGATGTAATTTTGAATATTTATTGTAAAATTGTTATTAAGTGTGGTTTTTATTAAAAACAATAAAATTGTAAACTAATCTTAATATTTTATAAATTTTTTTATTGTAAATTTGTCACAATCAATGATTTTAAAATAATAATTCATTAGTTTAATAAATTGGAATTTTCAAGTATTTTTATAATTGTTTTAGAACCAACTAAAACTAAATTTTAAAATTAAATAAATGAACGAGTTGAATTTATATGGTGTGACTGTAACTCAAACTGAAGTTATAACAGGCGAATTACTAAGTCAAATTTTAACAAATATGACCAACATGTATTTATCAGCAACTCCATCGCCCGGTGTCACACAACAAATTTCAAGTTTAACAACCCGAGACATACCCTATTCCACCAAAAGTGTTGACAAAGAAATGGTTCAAAAACAAATGCAATATGATAATCCAAGCAAAATAAAATCAGTACAACCACTTTATACTCTTCCACCCACAATATCAAAAACACAAGAAACTTGTATTCATAAAACTGAACTTCCAAAACAAATAAGTCGAGACATTAATTCAGAACAAGGAAAGCCTGACAGTGAAATACCCCTTTCTCACATCCACAGTCCTTTTATTGAATCATTACAACCGACTGACTTGTCTATTGTTGACAATAATTTGGTGAACACTGCACTTGTTAATTCGTTATCCAGTTTCCAGAAATGGACTGGCTATTCACATTGCAAATTAATCTTCGACACGGCTCAAGAACACGACCAAGACATACACGAAATTGTCGCTTTCAATGAGAGTGTGATTAACAAGAAGAATTTAATTTTTATAATGTTTGATGTAGTACATAATGTATTTGGGTGTTATGTGGAAGATTCAATTACCAAAGTGGGAAGAAATCTTTTAAATATTAACAAAAAGAATTTCCCATTTGTGTTGCATTCTAATGTAAATAAGACTCCCATAAAGTTTATCACAAAGACTTTGAGTAACATTTATTTAACACTTACTTCAGAAGGTGAAATTAAGTATGGACGTGATAATTTATACTTTGAATATGGTACAGTGGTATCAAAACTTGTTGGAAAAACATCACAAACAACCCAAACTTTGAGTAAAGAGTACTTTGATGTTCAAAACAAATTTCCAATTAATAAACTTATACCATTAACTTATCATTGTACACAAATCGTTGTAGTACAGTTATACTAAACAATCAATACAAACAAAAGTTTTGTTTTGTTTTTAAGTATTATTAAATCATTAAATCATTTTATAACGTTTTACAATCAAAACAAAAAAGCGTACAAAACTATTAAACATTAAAAGCTTGTGCTAAAATAACATTTAAACATGTTTTAATAAATGCTTGACTGGAGTGTAACATTAGACAATTAAAAAAGATATTAATAAAAAAAATGATACAAACATAAATACCATTTAATATTGTATTATCTGCACTTTTAATAACACATAAATACAAGTTTTAGTAAAACACAAAAAACATCATTAAAACATTTTTATACAAATTAAAATAATAAATAAAAGTTTTTATTTCAAATAAAATATGTTGTACTATAAAAAATTCATACTTTTTTCAAAATGAACTCAAACACATTAAAATTAATAAATTAATGTTGTGTTTGGTTTTCCAGAATTAAATGGACTATTTCATTCATTATAATATCCACATTATATGCAGTTTTCGATGAGATTAAATATCCATTTGTGTAATTCATTTCATCGACTTTTTGTTTTAAAACACTTTCCGAATTTTTTGCTTGTTCTGTATTGAGAAGATCGACTTTATTGCCAACCAATAAAATGGGAACACTAATACCATTGGTTTCCACTTTTGTTTCAAATTCCTTTTTTCCAGTTATCAACTGCTTCTAATGTTTGTGGAGATGTTAAATCGTACACTATAATAGCCCCTTGCACCCCGAGACACTATTTGTGATTTAATAAAAAAGTAATTATTAAAAAACATTTCAATTTATCAATAACTTCTGTGATATTAAAAAACCTTATTTTTTCAAATTTTAAACTGTTATTAATAACATTACATTCTTAAACAAATAAAAATATAACAAACACAGGAATGAGGTATCGTGAAATTCTTTTCTCTATTTTCTATTTTCCATAACCGCAGATCTATTTCTTTTCCATCAAATCTGCGATTGTCAGATTTAAAGTTTTTGCCAATCTTTGTGTAAATAAATATAATAATAATATATTATAATTACAGTAAAACCTGGATATTTTCTAATTTTTAGGGAGAAAAAACCTGGACATTTTATAAAACAATTTTTATAAAAACAAAAATGTTATTATGTTTTGTAAATTATTGTAAGTTGTGGCATATTTGTCTGTGTGGTAAATCAACTATTCAAATTCTTCATTTAACAACTCCAGTACTCTTTTGGCGTAAAACATATCCATTTCATCTGTAAGATCCAACAAATTAAGCTTTTCGATCAAAGCTTTTAGTTCATCAGATATTTTGTTAATTTCAACTTCGATGTATGAAACATCTTCTTCTGATGCATCAACAATCGCATATTTTTCTTTTTCTGGTTCTATAATATCTTCTATGGTAGTCGATTCTTGTATCAAGTTCATTCTTTTTAATTTAGATATTTCTTTGTTCAAATCAGTTTCAATGGTTTCTTCATCGGTTGTGTTGTTTAATGAAACATCATTTGGAACTGAACTTGCAACTAAATATGGTGATTTGTCATTCTTACTGATTTTTATTTCTGTGATAACAAATATCAATTTTTTCGTTTGTTTTTTTGTTTTTTCTTTTTATTATTTTTTGGTTAAAAAATTTATCAAACAAATTTTATATTTTCTGAAACTAATAACAAAACCATTTTTACTATTATAAACAATCCAGTTTATAAAATATCCAACATTATAAAATATCCAGGTTTTACTGTAATAATATCATCACTACAGATTCTATAAATAATAATATAATAAAGTAAAAATAATATGATAAAAACAAACTACAGGTCGATACAAGGGATCAAATATTGAATGTTTGTACATTCGAATTAAACTCTCCTTTCCAACATCTGGTTCTCCAATGACAAGAACTTTAATTTGTGTTGTAGTGTCCATATTTTCTGCTTCTACCTTATAATAAGAAATGGACACAAATGTACAAATAACAAACCATTAATATTTGATATTAAGACTTTGTAGATAGATGTGTTTTTCATTAACCCTTTACAATAACACAAATTTGGATAAAAAAATAAATGTTTAATTATATTTAATATAATTGTCTAAATTAAAATTTATTTTAATTCCAAACAACTAAATATTTCTCTTTTTAAATAATTATTGTGGTGTTAAGGTTTTGATTAGGAACATGGGGTAAAAGGACATCTCGTAACTTGGACAATTGGTAACTTCAACATAAAGTTCAAAAAATATATTTTTCGATGTTTTATTTTTATTTTTTTTATTAATTTTTTTTCTCGGCAAAAAATATTTAAGTATCCATTAAAAATAAAAAACCAAAATTGTTATTCAGAAAAAGTTTATAAATTTTTTATGTATTCTTTGTTGAAAAGATCGAATTGTACAATAAACTATCAACCAAATGTTCATAGCGATTGATTAAAACACAATAATGTCTCAGTTAATATTCGTTACTTTGGAATGATAAATCGTTAATCTAAATATATATATATATATATATATATATATATATATATTATCGATATGTCAATTTCATCATCATATATTTAATTTGATATATTATGATGGATATCATATTTATTTCTGTGTTATCAAGAATGTTAATGTGAATTTGTCATTTTTTGAATAACTTAAATCAAGATATTCCAGTAAACAAATTGAGGGGCATGACAAAACTAAGCCGCTTGACCTATACTTTAATATTCTATTTTTTAATAATAAAAAGTTTACTTATTTTTAATAGTAAAATATTTTACTTATAGTCACCCGCTAAAAGGTTAAAATTTCCGACAAATGGTCTAAAGAAACTATATTATAGTTTTTTGAAATTATGATTTTATATTGTGTTTCAATTTGACATTTATTTCTTTTCATTGAAAGTATTTCAAAATAAACTAAAGTTTTACTTAATTATAATACATTGTCAAAAATAGATTAAAGGTGAACTGAAAATCAATTTTAATGGATAATGTTGTATATGTGCATTTATTTGTACAATACCAAAAACCAAACCTACAACTGGTATGGTTTTCGACAATTCAACCAATTCTTTGGATGTATCAGATTCATTGTGTTGCTCACTCAAAATAACACAACCTTTGTTAGTTTAACTCCGTATGCTTCTCATTTTTTTCAAGTTCTTGATTTGGGGATATTTGGTGGGCTTAAAAGTAGAATGTCTTCTTTTAAAGCGAAAGACAGTTTTGTAAATTTGCTTTTTCAAGAAGAAGTCGAAAAGGAAAATGTGGATAATAATTTGTTTTAGAAAAAAAAACATTTTTCACAATATCGAACTCTGGAACAGACTAAGAAAGTTAATTGATGATATTGGTGGATTCTTTATTTGTGGTTACAACACCTCCTTTTATTATTATTGCTTTTAAACGAGCTGTCACAGTCAACTAGATTGACAAAACACCCCAAAGTGTCATGTATTAATTGATTGCCGTTATATTTTAAACTAATTAAAAAGCTTGACAAAAATTGATTCAATGTGATTTTATTTTTTGTTTTTTTAATGTTGTTTTTACTGTTTGTATAATTATAGTTTAAAATAATAAATTATAGTTTCTTTAGACCATTTGTCGTGTTTTTATTGCTTTTAGAGGGTGACTATATATTAAAATAAATAAAAAACTAATAAAATAGATACCACATTTTAATGTTGTCTAATTTTTCACTTACTCAACTGTATTATTCTGTTTATTAAATAATAATATTATTTAATAAATTTATTTTACAATCAAATTACCAATTTATTATAAAACCAATTAAAAATTATATTGCTTAAATAACTATATTTTTATTCTTCGCTTGTTTGATCATCATCAATCACAATATTTGCCTTGTGATCTTCAAAAACACCAGCGATGTTTTTCAAACATTCATAAAGTGTTACAACTTTCTTTTCGTAATCATCTACAATATTATTAAGTCTTTCTGTTGAACACGCTACCCATTTTATTGTCGGTTGACGAATTCCAATTTTCATTTTTTGAATATCTTTTCGAGTTTCTTCAATTATTTCTCCATTGATTTCGACGTATTTGTTGAAAGACGGCTTTTGTCCTCCACAACGTTTGTTCAGTCCAGAGTGGTATGATTCACAAATGTTGTTTGTTCGAATCAAAGCACCTCTTTGATTCCACATCATCAAAGGAAAACTGCCACAAATCCACGTGTTTTGAAAATATTCAAATATTCGAACGACTTCTTTACAACTGCCATACCATACCTTCAAAATATCAAACGCTTCTCTTACTTCGTTGGGTTTTAAAAAGCTCAAACCGAACATTAATTGGACAGCTTCAAACAACACACCATGGTTGTTGTACGTGGTGATCAAACCAAATTTTCTTATTTTCTTAATTACTGCTTGTCTCTGGTGATAAAGACATCCTTTGTGTACGAGTCCAAAATTTACAAATTTAGAAAGTGACGCAATTAAACCTTTTTCAAAATCAGACATTATCAAGACTGCTCTTTTGAAAGGGGATTGTCCAAGTAAATTTTCCAGAGATATGAACAATTGAGTATATGATGTTTCAGAACGTTCATTCATCAGAACATGAGCAACCGGAAAGTGTTGATCATTGGGTAAAACCACATGAATCGAATACAGTTGAGAGTAAAGTGTGGGACATGCTAAAAACGTTCCATCCATACATATCATTTTTGCAGATAAAAGTAGCTTCAATTGTTCCATATCACCAAAAAGAAGAGTGGTGTTTTTATTGTTATGATATAAAATGTTGGTGTAATTATTAACAACAATCTCTTCAATTGTATTGGGATTTGGTGGGCGATCAATGTTTCTTTTGATAAATTTGTTAAGTGTGGCGTCTGAAGTAGATATTGATCCTCTCTTGAAATGAGTCAATAAAGTTCTTGGTATCATTTTCTTGAGATTTATATTGAGTGATAGTTCTTTCTTTATTTGATTCTGATAAAGCTTCTTCTTGAAACTTTGTTCGGCATCGATGTGTTGAGTCGTTTTACCATAATGAAGAGAATCATCAATTGATCCAATTAAATGGACTTTGCACTTAGGTGCAACACATGAATAATACCCTTCCCTTATTTTTTTAAAGCAGTGATTTTCGTATATAATCATATCCTTTTTTCTTTGAGATAGTATATGAACAGGACCCACAGGTGAAAATTTTTCATAAGAATTACTGTCGTTTTCGGAAGGGTTTTGAGACATTTGATTATTAAATAATAATTAGTTTTTTGCATTGATAAATAATAAAAATTAACAATTTAATATTATTTGGTTTTAATTGTTAAATGATAATTATATTATAATTTTTTTATGTTGTGAATTTAAAAAAAACATGTAAAAATTTATAAACTTTTTCTGAATAACAATTTTGGTTTTTTATTTTTAATGGATACTTAAATATTTTTTGCCGAGAAAAAAAATTAATAAAAAAAATAAAAATAAAACATCGAAAAATATATTTTTTGAACTTTATGTTGAAGTTACCAATTGTCCAAGTTACGAGATGTCCCCCAATCGGAACATGGTTTCGGTTTATAATTAATATTTTTCATACCATTGGAAAAACTAAATATGAAAATTTATATTTAAACCATTAAAAAAACAAATAAAAACTTGTCGGGGCCGTCCTTTGCCACCACCTCTTAAAATAGAACATTTTTATATATAACATTTATATTTTTTTTGTTTTTCAAAATAATAAAAAAATAATAACAATTTTCTTATGTACTTCCAAGGTTCCCCATTTTTTTGGTCTGTCAAAAAAACTTTAATTG